CTTCCACAGTGCTAGGATAGCAGGCGTGAGCCACCACATATGGCCTAAAGTAATTATAAGACATTAAACACGTGACTTAGTTTTAAAAGGTAAGGAGAATTTCCATGGCCGAAGACGATGTCGTTTAATATCGTTCGCAATGATCACGTTACCTGAACTTCAATTTCCAACTGTGTCCCAATTAAACACAAAAGGAAGATCCAAACCTTGCTAGGCTGATTCTATGATGGCCCCAACAGCTAGCTCCTGGTCATTCACCTTCCCCCAGTGATTCAACCAACTCTAATGATAAATGGGTGTTGTTTCGCTAGGGGTGGTAGTACACGAATGAATTGATGAATTGATATGCACACTAGTTACATAAAATAAAATCTTTCTGAACTTTTTCAGTGTTTTACACTTCATAATTATCTGAGATGCAATTTAATACACTCATATTTCATTCATTAAGTCAACAAAAATTAATTTAGTGCCCATGATGAACCAGGTATGCCTTCATATGCTCACGTGCCTGACACTCCAGAAGTTTCACAAGACCGAGGTGGAGACACCAGAGTGTTTTAAGTGGAGAAATGACACACTGACTGACAGGAGCAGGACCACTGTGAAGACAACAGTCACGTAGCAGGTCATGGGACAGTGCTAGTGTCACAATTCATGAGTGATAGTGTGGTGGGGACTAAGGGGAGAGGAGGGTCTGAAGGATGAGAGGGACTGAGGAAAGGGCTGGAGAAGCAGGCGGTGAGGAAAAGGAGCAAAGGAAAGAAATCGAAAGTAGCAGAATTCTTAGGTTTCAATACATTGTTTTATGGATTTTAATATATCCATCTACAGAGCCTAGCAGGGTGTCCTTGGCAGTTGGCCTTTAATACCTTATGTGGGTCTGCCTAAAAACTAGTTGTTTTTATGTTAATCGGGTTTTAAAAATATTAAGTGTTCCTATAAAATATACAGAACACGTAGAAGTGGATACTTTCTGAAAACAGGCAGTGCATGAGCACTGGTGAGGGGCATTGTGACTGCATTGAACAGTTACAACTGTGAGGTGAATAGTCTGTACTGGCTCGTGGTTGCAACATATAGTAACATCGTGTGCTACTTTGTATTGAGGAAATATCCTGGACTCACACAGAAACTCAGAGCTATGGAATGATGGTACATTTAAAATACGACAAGCGGGAGTCACAAATACATTGTCTGGGAAAGTGAAATTTAGGGGCTTTGTGAGTCCTGTTGTAACGCTTTTGGACACATTTATAAATCAAGGGACCAAAGTCACATTTTTTACCGATAAGATTCCTGATCATTCGAGGGTTACCAAGATTCTACTACCCAATATATTTAATAAACAAACAGCAAACTGGTCTCTATTCTGTCTCATGCACTCAGGCGCAACTTTTCCAGATTAAAAAAAAAAGTCTCTATACCTTCATTCCCAGAGCAAGCTCAGTCTCTGGCACCAAGCTCCGTGGGGTGAGTTTTCTTCTAGAAGAGTCCAGGGGGATAGGTAAGGAAGGAGTGGGAGGCAGGGAGTCCAGTTCAGGGAGGGAGATTCCGGGATGAAAAGTGAAGGGAGAGGGACGGGGCCCATGCCCAGGGGTTCTCCCTGGTTTCTCAGACAGCTCCTGGGCCAAGACTCAGGGAAACAGTGAGACAGAGCGCTTGGCACAGGAGGAGCGGGGT